TTTTTGTAAAGTCACTTAAACATCATCATTTCATATGATTACTTAAGTTCAAAACATCTCATGTACATACATTGATATATATGAGTTAGTGTCGTCACCAGCTTCGGTGAATTATCCTTGATTAATAAGTACATCACCTCGTTGGAGAGACAGTCAAATTTTATAGACAACCTCCTACTCCATTCTCTTTCATTCTTCATCACTTGTCTGCTTTAGTTTGGTGCCCTCAACAACTTGTTGGATATGCACATCTATTATGGGACACAACCACATTAAAAAAAATTTACCGTCAAACTTCTATACTTGATTTCACATCCCTGACATCATTTAATTTTGTGCTTACTTGCCCTGTCAACCTTCTTACAAAATTAAATCAGTCTGACCTTGACTCTGATTGCACTTGACATAATTTGATACCCCTAATTATACACAATAGTCCTCAAATCTTTGAAAGTACATTGCAAGTATGAAATAAGCTTGCACCATATCAAGAAATACAAAGATGAGTATATAGAAAATCCTAAATGACGATGCCGAAGAAACCACAACAAGAGATTAGTATTTTGATAAAGTCAACCGGAAGTTCTATATATAAACACAACTCTAAAATAGTATAAATGATTGTTGATCTCTCACAGCCTTACTTAATCTATCGGAACCGTAGATTCTTGCTTTAAACAAAGAAGCGGTCTATTCGCTGGTTGGTTTCTGGGCTGATAAGTCTGGCTGATGCTGCTTTGTTGTGAGAGAAAAACACTGTTGGCTGACTGATAAGACCTGGCTGAAATCAACAAGCGAACAGGCTGCTTATTTATATAGTTAAAAGTTGTATTCCTGATAACATAAGAATTTATACTTAAATCTTAATATAATTAGAAGTTGTAATAGCATACCTCCATCAAGTCCTAGTCGTAAGTTTGAATTAAACTTATCATCCGCGTTTGGACAACGGCACCATATGACATGGATTGTAACGACACACGCTGGGCCCAGCCAAGCCAGGAAGTGTTGCCGTGATGGGTAGACAGATTGCAACATGATGGGGTCAACTCTCTGGTCTCCACGTCAAAATAACCAATTGCGCTTAAAAACATTGGACCTAGGGAGTAAACAGTTAGTGACCAAATTCCAAAAGGTACGCGTTCCTACTTTTTTTATTACTGTACCTAACTGCTAGTATAATCCAAGAGCGCAGACCAGGGTCGTCATTTGATCATAGTTATCAGGAAAAGATCAAGTAAGAGCATCTCCAGCAAAATTCCTACTTAAGCATTCATCCTATTTTTTAGGGCCAAAGGAAAAAACTCACTCTAGCAGGGCTCCTACTAAAGGCCTTAAATACGAGAGGTCCTATTTTAGGGGCTCGTACTGGAGTAGAGACACCTCTTAAATAAAAAGTAAGGATTCTGAGTTGCTCTAACCTAGGAACTGACAGATCAACGATCGAGACATCATACGTGGAATCAACAATCGCCAAGCACTTCAGGTCAAGTCTTCTGGAAAATATGGGTTCGACGCTGCTCGCGGGAAAAATTTTAGTGTAGTGGCTGGTGCGAGTGGCGCCTCGGCGCCAAGCGGGGATATCAGGGTATTAATAAATTTCGCCGGTTGGGTCGACTTCCGCTGCCAAAAATAAGTGCTGTTTTCTCCGTCTTTCCATGGGCCTTCTACTTCAAGTCCAAAACAAGTAAGAATACAGGTGTAAAAAACAAGTGAGAATACAGGTGTAAAAAGTTGACTTTTGCTGGACTTACCTACACTTACGCTGGCTTATACGGTGAACGTAAATAGTACTTCCGTTTTTTTTCCTCATTGTCTTATTTATTGGGAAAAAACAGCGACGGGTAATTTAACATCACGTCTCTCATCTATATCTATACCTAATAATAAAGATGCAAAATTTCAGACTATTTTTTTCGTTATCCATTTTCTTGGTATGTCTCCCTCTAATTACTGGACAATGGAGAGTTTCTTCCATCCAGACTTATATATACAACCTGCACTCATACACAGCATATTGTACATGAAAAACCAACAAAGAAAACAAAAACTGTTTTAGGACTCCAACCCAGACCTCGTGGTCGCCTCCGCCTGCCCCCCACCCAAAAAAAACATGCATTGCGCAGGGATTTTGGCTAGCACTTTGACAACACTCTCCGATAAAAAGAAAAGAGGTATATGCATCGTAGACCCTTAAACTTGTCTCGTGGTGCCACTTAGGTTCACAAACTTTCTAATCGTACTTCTAGCACCCTAATGTTATTTAAGTATGCCACTTAGATCCATAACTCATCGGATCAAGGTTTTTGCCGACGTGGCGGGGACAGAGTGCACATGAGCCTGGTTTGGGCGGCCACACGAACCGGGGCTTGAACAGTGGCACCTCGGGCGGCGCGCGTGGCCTTGGTCAGGACCTGCAGCACCTGCGGCATGGTGGGCCGGTCACCCGGGTTGGGACTGCTACATGCCAGCGCAAGCAGCAGCAGGCGTCTGGCCTCGTCGTGGTTGAACTCGTCGGCACCGAGGCTCTGGTCCACGGCGCCGAGCAGCACCGAATGCGAACACGACTGTCTCCCACGACGCCTTGTGGCCGACGGAGTACTCGGGCGCGACGAAGTCGCACGTGCCGGCGACGTGTAGGTCGGTGAAGGCCTCGCGGTCGTCGTCGAGCACTTGCGCCAGGCCGAAGTTGCCCAGCCGCGCGCGGAAGGACGCGTCCAGCAGCACGTTGCTGGCCTTGACGTCGCGGTGCAGCACCATGCGGGTGTACTCATGGTGCACGTAGTGAAGCCCCGCCGCGACGTTGCCCACGATGGCGTACCGCCTCGCCCAGCTTAGCATGGGCCACCGCTGCTCGTGAACGCCACGCCGGAACAGGTGCTGGTCCAGGCTGCCGTTGGGCATGTACTCATACACCAACAGCAGTTGCCCTTTCTTGTAGCACCAACCTGACAGAAATGCAAGCGACGCAGTGCTCGTCAGATCAGATTGGAACAAGAACAAGACGCATGTACTCATACACCAGCAGCAGTTGCCCTTTCTTGTAGCACCAACCTGACAGAAATGCAAGCGACGCAGTGCTCGTCACATCAGATTGGAAAAAGAACAAGACGCATATCATCGTCCAGTGGACATCACTGCACGTTCACTCTAACAACTATAACCTACTCTGTCGTACGCGAACTCCCTGGGCATCCCGGGGAGGTTGCTGAGCTGCTGCTCCAGCCGCTCCTGCCGCCTCTCCATGGACCGCCTCGGTGCCGGTGGACGCGGTGAAGCCGATGTACGCCTTCTCCGGGACGTGCTCGCTGAGGTCCAGCGGTGAGTCCAGCACCGGGGACGCCAGCTTCGGCTCGCCCCGGACGCCCATGTACACGGACACGTGCCGCACCGCGCCGTCGTACTCGACCCAGGCCGTGTAGTTGGTGGGGTTGCTGCTGTTCGTGGCGATGTGGAACGCCGTTAGGTTCGCCGTCTTGACGGACACGACAGAGCCGACGTTGAGGCCGATGTGGTTGTCGCTAGGATCGTAGTCCTGCTTCGTGGTGTCGAACTCGACGGCCACGAAGCGGTTCCTCGCCGGGGTTGGGTTGGCCTCGAGCGTGGCGTTGGTGAGGCCGAGGTAGCTGCCGTAGCTGCCGGGGGCGGCTCGTCGCGGGACGGCGCGACGACGAAGGTGAGCCCCTCGCCGGGAGGTGGAACACGTTGATGGAGAAGGTGCTGTTGAACGACACGACCTGGACGAGCGGGGCCGTGGCACTGCCACTGCCATTGTCGACGCGGCGCCACATGGTGAAGCGGCGATGGAGGAGCACGGAGCCAGACTTGTTGACCATGATGTCCTGGTAGCTGCCGACGTTGCCGGTGTCTGGGGAGACCTGGATCGTGCCCTGGTAGACGCGGGCCTCCCTGCTGAACGTCAGCTCCTTTTGCTCCCGCGAGTTGCCCTCCTGGAACGACGTGTAGTTGTAGGTCTCCACCTCCAGCGCCGGCAGCGGCTACAGCTGCCCGTGCCCTTGCTCCTGAGCGCGGCAGACGACAGCGCGGAGGCAGAGCAGCGAGAAGACGAGGAGGCAGCCTAGTAGAGGTGACAGAGCAGAGCGACCACGTCCACGTCCGCCGCCGCATCACTACAAGAATCCTGTTAATCCATGATGAAAAATTTTCGTCACGGATCACTGAAAAACCGTCAGTAAACAGCATCTGTGATGGTTTCAGAAATCATCACAGATTGAGCATCATGGATTGACATGCGTGACGGTTTGTCGAAAACTATCACGGATTAACATAAACGGTGACGGTTTTAAACCGTCACGATAGAGCCCGAGGCCTAGTTAGTCCAGCCCGAACCCATTTCCTATGACGAAAAATAACCGTCACGAATCAATTGCCGCATCAAAGATACACCAGCTCATTTGTTAACAGGCCAGAATCAAAGATGGGCCAAGTTTGGCCCAATTTCAGCCATTTTCGCATCAATTTTTCAGCCATTTTCACAAGCCCATTTCAGCATATTGCAACCCAAATTCATCACTAATTTTTAGCCCACTTTTCAGTCCACTACTACAACACATATAGCCCATATACACAGCCCATTTTTGAACATTCAGCCCATATACACAGCCCACACACAGCTCAAATAATTACTGTTGCAACAATATACACAACCCACACATAAAATAAAATAATACACAGCCCACACATTAAATAAAATAACTCATATTTCCATCCAACAATATATCACATAAATTTGCAACCAACATCAGATTACAAGTATTCATCCAACAATAGTTAACATACAGAAGTGTATACAGCCATATAGTTTACCATGGCACAAGCCAACAACACAGAATGCATAGAAGCCCAGCAGCTTGATGCATGCAGCAGCAACAAAATATATACCACCATATATCGCTTAACTTGGTCGAAATTGACTTGACACAAGTTAGCAGCAGCAAAATGCATCAAGTTAGTGGCAAAAGATATGCACCATGCACGTCTTAACTTGGTCGAATTTGACTAAGTAAAAGGTTAAGTTTTGCTTCCATCTCAGATTGACTCATCTTCATCTCCTCTCGGTCAATAATCCTTGCCTGCTCAGATTCTTGCACTTTATTTGACAAATCAACCACTTGTACACGAAGCTCACCATTGGTCTTTTTCTCCGCTTCCAGTTCAGCGCTCTGCTCATTGGAAATACGCCGGGCATTCTGGTACCCCACATTCTGCAAGAACTGATTCTTCTTGGTGTTCTCAGCAAGCACATCAGCAACAACTTGAGCCGCAGACTTAAGTTCTTCACCTTCTGTTGTTGTAGATAGCTTGTTTTCCATCTGAGTCTAGCAAACAAGTAGCAAAGATGGTTGATGTTGAGAGAATTAAAAATACAAAGATCAAAGTCTGAAAATTATCTTACAATAGCCTCTTGTATAATAGGGGTGTAGCATTTTTTTTGCTGTAGTGGCACTCCTTGAACAAATCAAATGCATTAGGTTCTTCATCATTATATTTGTCATCGTGAGAACAACATATATGCATTAGGTCCGGCATGAATTAAGATGTTACAAAATTTTGGACAGCTACTATTCAACTAAAAATCTAGAAGAACATGTTCAACTATAAATAGGATTAACCTGAATAGTTACTGTTCAACTAAAAATCTGGAAGAACATGTCCAACTAAAAAAAAGACAGTTGCGGTTACAATAACAGCAGTAGCTTATTACAATAGCACCAGTAGCTTGTACCAAATTATACAAAGACAAATCTAAAAAATAGCAGCAGTAGCTTGTTACAATAGCATATGCAGCAGCATGTTACAAATAGCTTAATATGGTGGTTAATAGCAGCAGAAGCTTAATATTTTTTTTATGACAAAGGAACCTTTATTGATTAGCGAAAGAAGTCTGCTGCAACAAGGAGAACCACTCTGGTTTACATCATACAAAGCCTCATGAAGAGGACATCTACAAATATGTTCGGGCTGATACATGTGAAAACAAAGAGGCTACAATTATCCGGTGAGGCTCTAAAGGCTTGGGAAGATAAAATATGCTTAATATTGTCATCACAAGAGCACAGCATGTTAAAAACACAATATTCTCAGTAAACTTATCCTTACATTAGAGCAGCAGACATGACAAGTAGTTGTGTTCTTACATAAATCAATACATCTCAAATTCCCTTATGTAAAGTGAGAAAACATTTCAGCAATATGAAAATTATTGATGAGCTTCATATAGAGAGCTTTATCCCCACATGCTTAAATAACAGTTGCATACATTTATTTATAAGGTGTTTAACATGGCTCACTTACCAAATTCTCAACATGAACCATGTAGGCACGGGATCCGTTGTGTGATGGTACTTAACTTTCCCTCGGTTGTCTTTGTTCTTTTGACACATCTCCTACATCAAAGACAAAAAATGCATGTAAGGTTGGTGATAGATTAGCATGTACAAGGCATCATTTTGGTTTTTCAGAGAAAACATACCATCTTTTGGGACTCTTCCATGATTCTAAAAGTTTAAGCCACTATTCATCACCATGCATTTGACAGAGAAGTTTTGTAACCAAATGTAGTGGAAAAGGATCAAAATATTCTGCCTTCAGCCTGTATCTTTGTTGGCGGACCGCAGATTGCATCATCTCAATACAACCCTTTTTAACTGTGTTATCCTCTGTGTTTATGTCAAACTTGGCCTAATTGAATGGAAGAACATGTGCGAAAAAGAATATCAATTCAATAACTTATGGCATAAAACAACAAACAATGGTTCTTATATTGAGACTAAATGTGGAAGGGGCCAAAGAATGTATGTACCTTTAGTTTTCCTAAGAATAAATCAACATACGCAGATGCGTGTTCTTTCTCGTTTGGTTCTTTCTCTTTTGGTTCTTTCTCCTTTAAACTTGATGCGTGTTTTTCTTGTACACTTCCAATGCGGGAGTATAGGCACATGGTTCCTAACTATGATGTTGCATTCACTTGCAAACTTTGCAGCAGAACAAGAGGAACCACCGGCCTTATATGCCCTTCGATTATGACAACTTGCGACTTGCCACGGCCAAGCTTCGGTTTAACCTTTGGAGACCAAGTCTCATATTATGTCCCCGGACCCTTCTCTCCTCTCCCCTAGTTGTAAATGTACATTGAAATTAAAATTAAGTAGGTGAAGCAAACATTGATCCATTGAGGCAATATGGAATATAAAAATAGAGGAACAAACTATCACCTTCGTTGGCAATCTGGTTGTCGTCACCATGTTGGGTAATGCCATCACTATACCAACCCGCGATGGTGTTGTCATCATCTTGGGCAAAGCCATCTAAAAAGGGCAGCCAAGAAGAATGCATTCATCATACAAACCTAACTTATAGAATGACAATGAAGAAACCATCACCTCCATCATCCATTCGGCTATCTTTGATTAGGCCGATCAATTGCATCACCCCAGGTGGTCATGTGTGTGTTGTCAAGTAGAGCAGAGTTATTACCTAAAATTATTGGCAATAATTAAGGTTAGTTCATCATGTTACCTAGTAAACAAGGCACACAAAGGAAAAGGTCATCTGCTATACAAATCTGATGCCCAGACAAATTAAGAAGTACATACATGCTATAAATAGCACATTGCATAAATTACATCAGATTTGGATACATATATATATATTTTTTAGGGGAATCAGATTTGGATATATAAAGCATCATACAAAAAGGAGAAACAAAACAAGTTTAGACCCACTTAAACAAGTTCAGCCCACTTTTTAGTGTCAAACAACAGATTTCAAAAATAGTGAAAATTGGTTTCATGAATCTTTTATACCTAAAACTCTAGTTAACATTTTCACAAGCTAAACAAGCATTAAACTTGGATAAACAGGTACAACACATAGACAAACTTCATAGATCAAGTTAAACATTTTTCATAGCTGAGTCATGGTAATGGAGTGAGACTAAGTAATGTGGCAGTAGAACTGGCCTTCAACAACATCCTGTGCTTGGTCATCTAAGTTGCCAACAAGTTCTCCAACAGGCTCTCATTAGCTTGCGATGGAGGTGGCACAGAAATTTCACTTGGTGTTAGCCTTGCATCTTGTCAGTGCATTGTTTTTCTTTGTCCTTGTAACTCTAGGAGATGTTTGGTCTGCAAAAAAACTCTCTTTATGAGATCTGAAACTTGACTCCACCGTGGTGGATTCTTGAAGGTTGGTTGTTAGTTTTCTTGTGAGTCTTCTCCTTAGAGCACTTGTTAGAAATGAAAGCATGTATTAGTCCACATAGCATTAGAGTTAGATTGAATTAGGAAGGGAAGAAGAACAAGTTAAGACTTGACAACATGGAGGAATTAGGACCTTAGAATTCTCATCGTCAATCAAATCTCCTTCATCAAGATTATCCTGCGGCCGTACTTCGCCAACATTTTAACATAGGGATCAGCAAGTCCAAGTTCCTTCAGCCTTGCAATGTTTTTTCATGCATTCTCTCGGCGCTCCATTTCAATTGGAAGCAGCCACGGTAACAAGATGAAAAAAACAAGACCAACATATCAATAATATTATATAGTTCACAACCAAAATGATGAATCAAAGCATCAAGATTTCAAAGGTGAAAGTTTGTGTAACAAGAAATAATTTTGGAACACGAATGATCAATCAAAGCATCCCAAACTATGCTGAATACTCTCAAATGAGGGATTCACATTAACATTTCAAAACAAACTAGAACTGAAGCCCCTAAATATTTGCGATATCTATGATACATGCTTTGACATACAAAAGAAGAGAAGAATTGATATATCAATGGAGTGCACTCGAGATCTTTCAACAAGGATTTTATTCAGAAAGCATTTGCCAAACAAGTACACATGCTACAGACATGATGTCTAAAATTAACAATAGTGAAACACATCCAGATGTAAAATGTCAAAAAATTTCTAGCCTGGGCAAGACAAGGCTTCCAAAGTACCATTGGTTCCTCAAACCAGCAACTAAAGAGGTGATGTTAGGACTATACCTGCTATCCGGCCTCCTTTCGGTTTATTTGGCACACCCTTCGGCGCCATAACAGCTTTTTGCGGCCTGGGATGCTAGTGGCAGCGTTCTGATCCTCCCAGCAGCAACGATGGGCGTGGCGGTGGAGCAGTCCTTCCAACAGCGACGGCGGCGGGTTGAGCTTGAAGTCGACGACGGCGGCCGGCGGGGCTTGAAGATGATGATGGCGGTGGATCTCCCGGGGCGCCCGCGGCCATCCAGGAACGGCTACTCCAGCAGGTGGCCGGCAGGACGTGACTTGGAGGCCGAACCCAGGCACCCTGCTCCTGGAGGTGTGTGGCGGCCTCCTGCTCTTGCTCCTGGAGGTGGCTGGAGGCCGAACTGAGGTGGGTGGCGGCCTCCTGCTCCTGGAGGGTGGGTGGCGGCTGGAGGTGGGTGGCAGCTGGGAATTAGGTTTTGGAGCCAGAGAGTGTCGACACATATATGTGGGTGGGGAGTGGAATTGGGAAGACCAAGGTACCCCTGATAAAATCTGTAATAGCATTGCCTATATATTTTTAATCTGTATGCAACTTAGGGTAGTAAGGTCAATTCGAACCACGAAACATTTGGGGCTGGCGCACATTTCACTTGAAAGCGCGCTGAGCCGCTTGGGCGCGCGGGAACTTTCTTTTTTCCTGAAGCTGAACATTGCCTTTTATATTTGGAACCTTCTAGATAAGTATATGTTTCATAGGAAGGCTATATTTGAGATTTGCTATTATGTAAAATAATAATTGATAAAACTATAAGGGTTCATAATGTTGTGAATGACGACGATCAAACGAGGAAGAACGCAAAATCAAACCACAGCGAGACACGAGATTTAACGTGGAAAACCCTCCCAATGCGGAAGGTAAAAACCACGGGCTTCGCTTCATCAGAAGTCGGCCAAAAATGATGTGGACTGAATTTGGAACATATTCAACACATAATTTCAAAATTAGTGCTTCTAGCTAGTAAGTACTGTAAAACAGTGCATGATGCAAATTTGTTCCCCTTGAATTTATCCCATTCTTTTCCCTAGACCTAGTTCCTTTAGACTGTAAAATTAGTGCTTCTAGCAAATTTGATGCAAAATGATGTGGACTGAATTTGGAACATATTCAACACACAATTATTGTAGCACACATGTATTGATTCATACCCTAGACCTAGTTCCTTTAGAATACCCTTTGCTTCATCATATGATTTTGGGAGTGTATTGTGTTCTGGGAAAGCATCAGCCAATACCTTCATGTGTGCAGTAAAAGCAGAATTGCTAATTCTATATAATGACTTCATATGTAGAAGCCTTACCACCAAAGAGAATCTTGAAAATTTGGAACATCCAGGATAAAGTTGGCGCTTTGCCTCTCTCATGACAGTTTTCAAAAATGACTCTTTATCACAAGGTTCTTCAGCACCAACTTCATTTTCTACATCCGGCCTTGCCTGTGCCGCTGCATTCTGTAGGTCTCCTAAAATCCCTTCCAAACGATCACCATAGTTGTCATCCTCTGTCACACCGACCCCATGTGTGGAACCATCATCATCTTCATGCATATCAATAGGATGCTCAATAACATTGACATCTAAGCTCTCTCCGTGATGAATCCACCGAGTATAAGTAGTTTCCATGCCATTCATCAGTATATGCTTCCTCACAACATTCTGTTTTCGGTACTTCTGATTAAGGCATCTGCTACAGGGGCATAGAATTTCAACATTCTCATTGAATTTCCCCTGAATGAAATTCATAAATTCTTTCACACCGTCAATGTATTCAGGGGAAAATAGTTTGCTATGCACCCAACTTCTATCCATCTAATCAAACGTCGCAGATAAACCACAATGAGCTAACTGCTATAATTCAAATGCTACATCCAACAAAATCAACAAAAAAAAAGAGGAGATATATACCTTGGCTGTCAGTAGGAGTTCAGGTGAGGCAGATGGGGATCCCCTCGGAGAGGAGGCAGCTGCTTAGCGTTTGACAATTTTAGGCGTGCTCGAGGCCGTAGGAGTCCACTCAATAGTTGGATTTGTCACCAGGTGGATGCATGGCCGCACTCGGCATCTCTCATTGGTGCGGCAATGGAGGGCAGCGGCGCTGTGGAGCTACAAGATAGGGTTGGAGCCTTGAAGGGCGGCGGTGATGCGAGATGTTGCTGGTGTGCAGCGGTGATGCTGGAGGACGCGGCAAACGAGGAGGCGATGGTGCTGGACGGCGCGGCGGTGGTGGGCAACGGCGCGGCTCTTGCCTAATCTCGCCGTCGGCGGCAGTGTTTGAGTCCAGCGGCGGTGGCTGAGTCTCTGAATCGCGGCTGGTGTCTAACTGAGTCCGTGAAGGAATTGAGGAAAGGGGAAACTTACTCCTACATTCATCAACAAAAAGAAACAGAATTGTACTTGGTCACACACAAGTTGCTAGCACAGTGGTGAGGCGGACTGTTGTCAACTCGCAGGTTGTGGGATCGATTCCCACAGACTCCACTCTTTTTTTCTATTTTCCCTATTTACCTAATGTTGGGCCACTCCCGCCAACAAAAGGCTAATAGAATCATGTTCTGTCACACTGGAGCAGCTAGCGCAATGGTAAGGCATATTGTTTTCAACACCTAGGATCAGGGTTCAATTCCTGGAGATTCCTTTTTTTTGTCATTTTGCCACGCCGTGTGCGGGAATGACCCAGGCGAGTGAATGACCTAGGCCTACTGTGATGCTGGGCCGGTAAATAAATAAAAATACTTAAGTGCACATTTAGACACGTAGTGTAAGTACCTCAAATGGTAAGACATGGTTCTATTTTTTTGCAAGTCTTGTGTTCAAATCCCATATATATAGTTATAGGTGTAAAGTTTTTTGTTCCCATCCACAATAAATGGAGAACATTTTTAATTTTGCCAAAAAAAACATGTAACAAAGTAACAAAATTATTTTGTTCAA